TGATGCTTGTACTCGACATTCATGGCTTAATCTTTTGAAAGATAAGATAGAAGTCATTACTGCATTCGGGCTATTCCAACAACTAGTTAAACACCAGTTTAGTCTCCCTATTAAAGCAGTCCAAAGTGATTGGGGAGGAGAATATAGACGGTTGTCAACTCATCTGCTCAAGGAAGGCATCATACACCGTGTCACGTGTCCACATACGTCAGAACAGAACGGAGTGGTGGAACGCAAGCACCGTCACATCATCGAGCTTGCACTTGTGCTTCTTGCACAAACATCTATGCCTATTCGTTTTTGGTCTTATGCAGTGGTTACTGCAATTCACCTAATTAACATGTTACCAACCAAAATACTGCAAGGAATGTCGCCATTTGAGAAGTTGTTTTACAAGAAACCCGAGTATGAGGCGTTAAAGGTGTTTGGTTGTCAATGCTTTCCACACTTGAGACCCTTCTTGAAACATAAACTTCAATTTTGATCACAACCATGCGTCTTCCTTGGATACAACCCACATCACAAAGGATTCCAGTGCCTATCACCTAATGGTCGCATATATGTCTCGAGGCATGTTATATTTAATGAGTTACATTTTCCTTTTGCAGGTACCACTCGTACAGAATCCTCACCTCACAAGACTGATCAACAATCTCAATCGCTGAAGGTGGTCACTGATGTAGATAAATTTAGTACTCTTGGGGCTTCCATTTCACTGAACATGGAACGTGGATCTAGTGTTGGAAGAGACATTTCAGTTGGAGTTGGCTCGCATACTGCACATGAGGGTGTGTTAAGTGTAGCACGGACTGCATCCAGTGATGGAAATAGAGAGGTTTCTCCTCACCAACCTAGTCCAGCTCACTCACCTAGTCCATCTCACTCACCTAGTCTAGCTCACTCGTCTAGTTCAGCTCATATATCTAGTCCAGTTAATTCCTCTGGTCCAGTTCATGGTGACTCTAATGATGCTGGTGTTAGCACGTCAATTCCTACTCAACTACAACATGCTGATGATGAACTTACTGGAAACAAGCACCCCATGCTCACACGCAGCAAGTGCGGTGTCTTTAAGCCAAAAGTGTACATTAGTTTCTTTGATGACACGATACCTACTAGTGTTCGAGCTGTTTTGCAATCGCCTAGTTGGAAATCAGCTATTGACGCAGAACTTGGGGCGTTACAAGAGAACAAGACTTGGTCTCTTGTTTCCTTGCCTAATGGGTGAGACGTTGTTGGCTGCAAATGGCTCTTTAAAATAAAAAAGAATCCAGACGGGTCTGTGCAACGGTATAAAGCACGGCTGGTTGACAAAAGGGTACTCGCAAGTACCTGGGTATGACTTCAAGGATACGTTCAGTCTTGTTATGAAATTTGTCACGTTGAATATCGTATTGTCTCTTGCTGTCACTAAGAACTGGTCACTACGCCAAGTCGATGTAAATAATGTGTTTTTGAATTGTGAGCTATCTGAGGAGGTGTTTATGCAACAACCTCCAGGATTTGAAGAAGTTGCTGCTGATGGGTCACCGCTCGTGTGTAAGCTGCACAAGGCTTTATATGGGCTTTGCCAGGCACCCAGAAACTGGCATGATAAGCTGAAGGTAAGTCTTGAGTGAATGGGATTTATTGAATCCTTAGCTGATGTATCACTCTTTGTGAGGTGTGTAGACAATTCTTATACCTTTGTGTTAGTTTATGTGGATGACATAATTATCACTGGAGACTATGCGAGTGATGTTGAAAGAGTGGTTCAGCTCTTGCAAGGAGACTTTTCGCTTAAGGACTTGGGTGAACTAAACTTTTTTTCTCGGTATTGAGGTCAAGAGAAGCAGTGGTAAATTAATTCTCTCGCAGAAGAAGTATATTATGGAGCTATTAGAAAAGGCAAACATGCTAAATGCTAATTCAGCAGCTACACCTATGGTTGGATCAACTAAATTGATTTATGAAGCAGAACCTTTACTCTCAGATGCTCGTGAATATAGGAGCTTAGTTGGTGCACTTCTCTATGTGTGTCACACTCGTCCCGATATTGCATTCAGTGTGAACAAGGCGGCTTAGCATATGCATGCACCCTGTGAGTCTCACATGGCAGCAGTTAGACGTATGCTTCGTTATTTGGCTGGTACCTTCGACTATGGGCTCACGTTTTTAACTGGTGAGGCATGACTGAAGGTAGTTGCGTTTGCAGAAGCAGATTGGGGAGGTGATGCTAACGATCGGAGATCTATATCTGGCCATGCTATGTTTCTTGGCAAATGTCCTGTGATGTGGAGCTCAAAGAAGCAAAAGACCGTTTCCAGGTCAACCATGGAAGCGGAGTATCGTAGTGTAGCAGACACAGCTGCAGAAGTAACCCTGGATTAATGTGTTGTTACTCAATCTAGGTGTGAAGCAGCGCGAGGTGCCAGTTATCTGGTGTGATAACACAAGTGCCATTGCAATGAGCATGAACTAGGTTTACCATGCTCAATCAAAACACGTGGACATGAATGTCCATTTTATCAGGGAGAAGGTTGCAACAAAAGCGCTGCGTGTTAGCTATGTTCCAGCTAACTATCAGGTGGCGGACGGCCTTACTAAACCTCTAACTAAAGTTGCATTTGAAGTTTTTCGAACCAAGATGTGTGTCCTGCCTTGTTGAAGCAGGAGGAGAAAGCAGAGGGAATATTGGAGCAATAAGCAGTTAAGCAGTCATCAGTTGAGATTGGTTAGGGAAGTTAAAGCTGTTAGCGTGCAGTTACATGTAGTTGAGGTAGTTGCAGTTCTTGTATGTTGTTGTAAAACTAGTATAAAACCAGTGTACTCGATATGCTTAATAGAATGAGAAAATATTCTATATTCTTGAGCTTTACAAGCTAATCCTAGCTTGCTAACAGTTTCAAATAATTAAACCAAATACAGTTCATTGCTTTCTACTAGAAAAAGAAACACTCCTAAAATATTTAACGATTGTACTCAAATTATCGAAAACTAAACAACTAAAAAGATTATCCTAATGAAAGCGACCATACGATGACTTGCATAGTTCTTGAGAAATCACAAGGCTTTTGTCATCCTCATCGTTCCACGATTAAACGTCATCAATTGTTTTACACGAAATTTCTTACAATACCTAATGGCCATGAATAGAAAATGTTGACTGGATAAAATAAGCATCAATCGCCTGCGGATTGAACAACTCAGCGCTTGCCACGATGCCCGCCACCTACCCTTGCACCGGGGTAGCGAGCAAATTGCAACCTTAATTTGACTGAGTCATGGTCATGTTCATTGAATATATACCTGCAAAATCGAGCTTAACTATTCATACAACACAACTTGGCGATAGTCACTATACCTCCGATAATAATTGGCCATGCTGTAGCTTAGATACAGTGAAGAGAGTGACATGCACTACTATGTTTTAAACAAGAACAAAAGTTTAAAAGGGAGAAGAAGTAGACGGCGCCGTATTAGACAACAGTTTCAGAGGAGAAATAACTGGATCAGGCCAAAGCCAAAATGTAACTGACAAATACCTTTTGAAGGCAAAACTCGAGTTTTTATAAAAGGTAGTAAACTCTTATCTTTTACCCCCACTTTATCTCAATTTAAAAAAAATAATAATAATAGTAATAATTAACTTAATACCAATTATGTAAAAGATGAATAAATTATTATAAAAATTAAATAAATTGTTTTAAATTTATGTAATTATTCATTGGTTTAATGAGATAAGATATTATATCTTTTATAAATAATTAAGATTCAAATAGTGATATTTGTGAGTGGAACAAACTGGAACGAGAGAGTTGTCCTTACCTTTATGGTACTTGATATGAATTAATTGATTAATATTGGTGATTATACTAAAAAAAATACATAAAAGATTATCATTTTGTTTAAAATATTATCACTTAATATTTGCCATCTGCGATTATATTGCTCTATTGGGGTTCATAAACAAAATTCAAAGACCAATATAATCTAAACGATTTAAGTGGTAAATGAATTGTTAGTTATTTTTTGAGGTTTTGGGTTCGAACATCAAAAATATCAGGCGTGTAAGCATCTAACATTAAATAATTAAGAATTATTTTTGAACAAATACTAACTTATTCTTACCCCGAACTAATAAAAAAATCAACTTCAATTGGTTAAGTCGATTATGTACGGTACCCAGGGCCGTGGCAGGGTTTTCGGGGGCCCTGTACAAATTCGTATAAAGGGACCCTATTTTCTAGATATATTCGATTTTGGGGCAACAATAGTAGCGTTTTCTTGACAAACGCCGCAATAGATCCATCTATAATGACGTTTTATCAATAAAACCGCAATAATAGTGATGTTTTTTTTTTGAAAAAAACGTCGCAATAAGTCCATCTATGGTGGTGTTTATTGATAAAACGCCACTATATATACTTTTTTGGGGGCCCATTTTGAGGGCCCTGCGTGGTCGCGCAATTCGCGCCGCCCCAGCCACGGCCCTGACGATACCATTGATGATAAAACTTCTAAATCCTTACCCCATCTGAGAGAGCATGTTTTATAATCCTTTTACATAATCACTATACATTTTTCCTTCAAATTAATATCAACGTAATGTTTTCTTTGTAGCAATTCTCGTACACGATTGAGTGAATAAGCTCAAAATAATGTGTTTCTTGATACATAGATGAAATTAAAATAATAAATAAAATCAAATCTTTTTAGGTTAAATTACAAATACCAATTAAATTAAAACTTAATTGATAAAATATAAAATTAATTTACTAAGGTGTTATCATTGTTATATGTATTTTTATATACATTTTTATATTAATGTTGAACGGTGTTTACCTTTATACAAAACTTGATCCCCAAGCATCTATGACGATGAATAGCGACTAGCGAACCATTCATGTCTTCCCTTGTTCTATTTTTCTAATAAACTGTTGACTTGTAGCCCTACCCTTCGTTCTATTTAAACATCCCCAGGCCCAACATGTTTCTTCATCTCTTCTCTCAGTTGCAGAACTGGGAATTTGGCTATACAATTCTAGAGCTAGCTAGCTTCAGTGCACATCAATGGAGTCCGCTGGTAATCCCTTGTACAGTTGCAGCAACTGCCGGAATCCCCTCGCTCTTGTCGAGGATCTTATCTCCAAGAATTTCCTGGTTATTTACTACAACCTTTGCTTTTCATTAATCTCGGTTGGAGTTTTGTCTAATATTTTTTTAGAGCGGGACGTACGTGATAATAATATAAAATTATAGGTAAATCACATTAGATATCACTGAATTTTAGGTGTTTTATCGTTTATACTACTGAGTTTTTTTTATTTTTTTTCAATTATAACATTGAACTTTTATTTTAGTTTCAATTATGCACCAAATCATTAAATCGTTAACAGTGCAGAGATGTGGCTAACGGCTATCGACGTAGACATCTCACCAAAACGAGGTTGTTTTGATCAAGTGGTATAAATGAAACAAAAATCAATGTTCATTACTATAATCGATAAAATTAAAAGTTCAGTGGTATAAACGATACATCACCTAAAGCTCGGTAATATTTGATATAATTTACTCTAAGATTTTTTAATTGGGTGGGAATAAATAAAATTTCATGTGGACACCGTCAATAAAATAGGTCGTTAATCGAAGAAAATTTAGATTTTATGATGGTCATTATTAATAAAACGGATGACTAATCTAAGATAATTTGGACTTCCGGGTTGGCACGTGCCCACCCTCGTTCAGCCATTGATGAAAGTTTTTTTTGACTAGTTTCTTTGACTTACCCTTCGAGGTTAACTTCGATGTCATTTGGTTTTAAATTAACAGGCAACATCAGGGAAAGCTTATATGTTCCAGCATGTAATGAACGTAGCGTTGGGTCCGAAATACGACGCGCAGATGCTAACCGGTCGACACAGCATCGCCGATATATTTTGCAACAAGTGCGGAGAAAAACTGGGCTGGAAATATGTTCAAGCTTATGACCAGGAAAACAGGTACAAGGAAGGCAACTTCATCCTCGAAGAACTTAAGATGTTCTAACCATACTAAAACTACATTAAAGGCGATTATGTTCAAGTCCGACCTTAAACTATATATATATATGTTTAAATTAAATTTTAGGCTTAAAGGTTATCTATGTCTCTCTTGTAGACTCAATTTATCATTTTCGTCCTTATCGTATTTTTGTATAATTTAGTTTTTAAAGTTGTTTAATTTCATCGTTATATCTTACTCTCAACTTAAAACTCTAAATTATAAATATTGAGTTAGGGTTTATAGTTTAGATGTTATGGGGTTATGGTTTAGGGTGGGTATGACATAGAATGATGTAATTGAGCAACTCGATGGCTAAATTGATGCAAAAATAAGATAAAAAAGAAAGTTATAAATTAGGTCTACTATAAGGGCAAAAGTTACCATTTTACCGAAATTTTATATTTTCATACACACCATATTAAAATTTTTCCATGTTTGTAATACTTGAAGTCATGTTAAATCATGTATTTAAATAAATTAAGGTAAACTACATGATTAGTATTTAAACTATCAGTATTGGCCTATTTTATTACATAAACTTTTAAAATTTTCAATATCATACTTAAACTTTAGTTTTTGTTTCATTTTAGTATCTCGTTCAAAATTTAACGTTATTTTGGATTTTTTTAAGTTTAGGTACTAAAACGGACCAAAATTGATAGTTTAGGTACTAAACGTGTTAAGCTTATAATGGTGAGGTACTAAAATGAAATAAAAACTAAATTACACATTTAGTATCTAAACTATTAACTTTGGCCTATTTTAATACCTAAACTTTCAGAATTTTTAAAATCATACTTAAAGTTTAGTTTTTGTTTCATTTTAGTATCCCGTTCAAAAGTTAACGTTAAGTTATTGATTTTTTTTAAGTTTAGGTACTAAAACGGACCAAAACTGTCAGTTTAGGTACTAAATGTGTTAAGCTTCTAACAGTGAAGTACTAAAATGAAATAAAAGCTAAACATTAAGTATAATTTTGAAAAAATTAAAAAAATTTAAATACTAAAACGGATCACAATTGATAGTTTAAACCTCATAACTTTGTTACTTTTTCAACATGAAATTATCATACCTTACCTATTTAAGACGTAACATTCTTCTTCATTTTAATCTCGTGACGTTTTCGTCATGAACGATTATCACAATTATTTTTCATGTATATGTCATTTACATAAGCGTTGAACGTAAAATTAGAGTTAAATAAACTATAAGAGAACTATATCTAATATCTTTTAACCTTTTAAAGTCACTCTTTAAAACCCTATATCGATCATTTTAATCCTTGTCTCCTTGCCCTTAATATCATGTTTTAGTTTAGTACCTAATATCATTCATTACAAAATTATTATTAGTTATCGTAATATTTTTTTAATAAAAACTTTCATGTTACGTATAATGGTACTAACATTATTTTTCGTCACACGTGCTTCATGTATTAAATCCTTAAATATCGCTTATTTATTTGTTGTGACGAACATGACTTTATCGTGCCACTAATTGCTAGCCCATGCGATAGATAGGATTTTGTCACGTACATAAACATAATTGTTATAGTATGTTGCATGAATCAAGTGACCTTTGTAATAAATGAATTGTTGTTATTCTTGAGGACTCGAATTTGAGCACCATAGATGCTAGGGGTATAAGCGTTCAATATTAAAAGATTGAGAGTTATATTCAAACATAAACTACATTGTACTTACCCTAATTTATTAAAAAACAATTATAGTATCTTCTCTTTAAAATTTAATTTAAATAAATAAGAAAAAAATATCAACATCTAAAAAAAATTATGTGTTTTTTAATATAAAAAACCTGATACTAATTAATAAGTTTATGTAAATCAATTCAGTCTGACACGGTAATAACGGCGGGAGATTAAGATCGTAGGATGAGAAAGTTGTTATTTTTTAAATTTATTTTAGGGTAAACAACAAATTTAATATCTAAATTATTAATTTTAGTCTGTTTTAATACTTAAACTTTTATTTTTTTAAAATCATACATAACTTTGAGTTTTTATTTCATTTTAGTACCCCACCATTAAAAACTTAACATGTTTAGAACCTAAACTATTAATTTTGATTCATTTTAGCACCTAAAATTTCAATTTTTTCAAAACTTAACGTTAAATTTTTTCAAAGCTTTTAAAGGTGAGAACTAAAATAAAATAAAAACTAATAGTTTAGGTACTAAACTTGAATTTACCCTTTACTCTATTACAGTATAATGCAAATAACCCAGCTGTTATTGTGATGTTTTTCGTCCGCCTGTACGATTACTGCACACGCCGCATGAAAACCCCATCAACTGGTACTATGAAGATTGACGGTTTGGCTAATTGGCTAATAAAAAAGCTACCTTTAAATATATTATATATATATTCTATTTCGAGACTAATAATCCCACTAGTAAAAATAAAGTAAGAAGTAGAGGACGATTCGTTTCCTAAAAACCAAGTTCCTCCCAGTCTCAATCAAGTCTCTTCGTTTTCAATCACCAGCAACAATTTTTTGTCTACCGGAAACTTTTTTGCCATGGAAAACGACTCACATTTCAAGGGTCTGAAGAGGCGGTTGGCCTTAGACGATGGACATTCCGATGTCGTTCTCCGACGTTTCAGAGTTCTGTTACCCAACGGGACCAGCGTTGGTTTGACGTTGAAAGACGATCTCGATCATGAAATCTCATTTCAGGGCTTCATTGACATGATCAGGGACGCCTATGATATGGAGAAACGACAATCCGGGTCGTTTAAAAGTAAAGGAACGATAAACTGGAAGAGTAAAAGGTTGTATCTTGAGGACGTAAATGGGTCGGAAACAATGGGACGGATCGATTTGCGGCGCTTCAAACTCCATAAGTGTCACTTTCTTCAACTTCATGTGAGTGTTTTAGGTTGCAGGGTTGTTTATGCCCGTTTTGGTTTGCTGATAAAAAAGGAAGCTCTTCAGAGTTATGAAAGAACTGGAATTTGTTTTATTTGCTTGTCACTTACTTGCTGTTGGTTTTGATGTTCAGGATGGTTCTGGAGAGGTTACCAATAATTTTGAGGTAATGTATTTACTCCTTTCTATTTTGGGACATTGTTGTTTGACTGATGTATTCTGCTGAGAAACCATGGTTACTTTTTTTTGGATGAATTTGTTGGTTTTCAGAATATGTGGGATTTGACTCCCGATACTGATTTGTTAATGGAGCTACCAGAAGAATACACTTTTGAAACTGCTCTTGCTGATTTGATTGTGAGTTCAATCGTGTTTCTGTGATTCCGGATTTTCTTTTATCCTTTGATATGTTGTTTAGTTGATGCTTACCCTTTCCACCTGTTTAACAGGACAATTCCTTGCAAGCAGTTTGGTTGAACCGTGAAACCCATAGGAGATTGATAAGGTCTGAAATCTCACTGCTTTATGCTTATTGTATTTAGTTTATATCTCTGTTTTTTTTCTATTGGCTTGAATTTACTCTTTTATGGAATATAATTTACTTTCAAATTGTGAGTTGGAGATGTAACGAAAGAATGATTTGATTGCTTGTGTCTGGCCGAGATTATTAATCATGTCGACGGCATGAGGCTTAGAATTTTTGCCAGATTTTCTTAGTGACCTTTGGTTGTTTCTTATATATATATATATATTATTTTTTAGCCTCATTATGTATATTTTGTGTGCATGCTGTATTGCTTTTCCTAGACCGTGCTTCATATGGCTATCTTAATATTTTGCAGTGTGGATGTTCTTGAGAATAGAATCTCAATATTTGACACGGGGCCTGGAATGGACAACAGTGATGAAACTCTATTGTGAAGTGGTATGATTTACCAATTCTTTTCCTTTTCTTTATATCTATGTTTATTTTATTTTAACTATTGCTTTGGGACTTTGGTTAACTTTTCTTCTGTTGTTGGTAAGAAATTTATAATTTATTCGATTGTAATTTAAATGTCAGTCCGCTTTGTTCAAGGTTCAAACATAAGTGAGATATATTTTGGAAGGAAATATTTTCTGCACTCTTCTCCTGGTTGTTTCTTAATTACAATTTTTCTTTAGAGTTTTGCTAATGAATTCAAGTTTATTCTACTTGTTTTATTCAGGGGAAAGATGGGTGCCTCTCTAAACAGGTTATATAAAGTAAAGGCAATAGGGTGCAAACCTCCATTCTTAGTGGTAAATCTCTGTGAAATTCTCTTTTATTTCTTTTGGTCAGACAAGTTGGTATCTGTCGGAGATTGATGAAACAGCCGTTTGCCGTTTAACTTTGCCCACGAAGATTCCAGTATGACTTAGAAGCTCTTTACATCATTGATGGATTAGTTATTTATGTTATTTTTTTGGCTTTAAAAACAATGCAGCCCTTTTTTGGCATGTTTGGATATGGAGGACCTGTTGCATCTATGCATCTAGGAAGGTATGTCCTTTTGGACAAATTGTACATGCCCGTCAATCTGTTTTATGCTGATTTTTTTCTGTTTTTTTTATATCTTCATTTAGCTGTGTTATAGTTTCGTCCAAGACAAAAGAATCAAAGAAAGTTTATAAGTTACGTCTTGCACGAGATGCTTTACTCAGCAATGCTGGTTCTGAATGTAGTTGGAGGGTATGCAAGTGCTCTTAGTATTGATGTCCCAATAGAATAAGTTTATATAGAGTTTTTTTTGCTATATTTAACTTTCTCATAAGTTTGTTTCATTATGTCATCAAAACCATGTTACATTTGACTGATGGCGGCTTTAGGGATCCTTCTGATGACGAAATTGTGAAATCACCCCATCGGAGCTTTACAAAGGTTTGCTTTTCTGTACATCGCATTTAATCTTCATATATTTTTGTTTTAGAGGTTAGACCCTGCATTTGATTCGTGCATAGGTGTCATTTTAACTAGGTGAGGATGTTCGTTTTTTATTTGTCTCAATTCGTGTATTGATAGTTCGATTCTTCGCAGGTGGAGATACTAAAGTCTAAAGTGAAAAACTTGGACATATCTAAGCTCCAATGTAAGCTGAAGGACATATACTTT